AATGCTGCGTGGCAAATCGTACACAATGTTTTGTCAGGGGGCTGGATTGGAGAGGTCTCGGACCTGGGCCTCCTTTGCAAGGGTAGGGTGCAGCTTGTGCCTGGGGAATACAAATAAATTGTTTGGGGACAGAGAAGGAAAATGAGTGTTGATTGGTTCTGGAAACATATTTAAGGATAGCGCAGGAGGAAAATGTTCCTAAAACATATCGCAGAAGTCCCTACAATTGACTTGAATATTTGCCTCTCTTTCTAACTAAGGTGGAGTAGCAAGAAGACACAGGAAAGAACCTCAGGGAGAGGGAGAGAAGAAAGGAAGCTAAGAGCGCCAATCCAAATGCAAATCTAGAAGAGACCAAAAGGAAAAACACACTGGCTTTACTGCCTTCCTTCCCATTTGTGGTCTAAAGGTACTGTATGTCGGCACCTATCTGTCCTTCCTCACTTCGGCCAGCGCTCTTAAAAAAACATTCCCCCTTATCTACCTTTCTCTTTTTCTTATTTTGAAGGGAAAGAATTCCACTTCAGTTTTGATGAGAAATTTGTCAGCATTCTCAAATTTCTTCATGCGGGGGAAGGAAATAACTTCTATTGTTTTAAAAAAATGAACTTGAACAGACTTTTAATGTCTGTGTATGCAGCAACCTGGACAGGTTCTGAATCTTATACCCAAAATAGGCTCAGAACCTTGGATTGCTTGTTTATAGTTCAGATGAAAACCTGAATTCACAATTTCCCCAATACCAGAGTCACCTGCTATAGAAGTATGAAGGATCTTGGAATTGTTGTAAATCACAAGCTGAATATGAGCCAACAGTGCAATGTGGCTGAAAAGAAAAAAGAAAAAAAAAGAAAATGAAATTTTAAGATGCATTTTTAAAGGTGAATTTTCTGTTGCCAAAAGGGGATGAAATGGACTCTGTTTAGACTAGAGTACAATAATTCAATTAGGATACAATTCAGATGTCCCATTAAAAAGAGAAAGAGATCTGGCTGCTCCAGAATAAACACCCAGTTCACCCCTCAGTTATTTGTTTTAGACGCTCCACTACATTAATTCTCAAGAACTGCAATTAAAACAAGGAGGGCCGTGTTAAATTAGTATTAATCAGTGTTAAAATCTGGTGCTGATTAAGATATAACAAGCACATCAACCTGGGAATACATTTTTAAAAATTCTGAAGGTCTGCCCTGGTGGTTAAAAAAAAAAAAACTAAAGCAAAGTGTGCTGCTTATATACCACCCCATAGTGCTTAAAGCACAATTCAGGCAATTTACAATTTAATTATATAGGCTAAATGTTGCCTTTCTTCTGTGAACTGAGTACTCAGTTTATTGACCCCGGAAGGATGGAGAGTTGGGTGAAAGTTTGTTTGGCTTTAGCTAACCACCATATTTTAAGGTTCATGCCCATCTCTACTTCGGACTGTCTCGAGGAAATCTGCAAAAAGCTAAGCCCCACAGAAACAACTAGGCATCTACATTCTGTATTTGCCTAGAATGTGCTGTTAGACAGACAGTCACTCCAGGGAGAAGCCAGAGTATTGCGAAAAAGTGAAGAAAGGGGCCAGTTATTTAATGTTTATATTTGGGCAGAGTTCGGTTGTAGCGCAGCGAAAAGAGGGATCATCGAAGTGGGTGTGTGCAATCTTACAGGCTGTCTGTTTTCCGCTTGAACAGGGCCACTTTGTGGGTATGATTGTGTATCTCGAGGGCATGACAGCTGGTCTACAAAACGGACTGCTTGTTACAGTTAGGTGTGGAATTTGTGGTAGCATTTTGGCCATTGTGTTTTTATGGCCAGCAGTGAGGAATGGCGTTAGTCCAAGCTCTGATGCGGTTAAATGCTTAGGTGCCTTTTTGTATCTACACGTATGTCTTCCGAGGAAGGCTGACTTTGTAATCCTCTTCAACAGGAGTGATTTCTCTCTCCCACTTGAAAACAGTTTTAGTATCACTACATCTATATGCATTCTCCTCTCCCCCTGTAAACTATCATTCTGAACTGATTACTGATGGCCCATAGCACGGGGGACTCATTTTGCCACTTTGGTGTCAGCTGACCCTCTCCTCAGGCCAGGGTGCATCCAGGAATTAGCATCTCCCCACGATGCAGGGAAGCTGCCGTTTGCCACCATTAGCCGCTTTGAGTTCAGCTCCCTCCTCTCACTTTCTGACATTTCTTCACGCCTCTTCGTTAATTTCCACAGGCAGGCCCTGCCAGTGCAATTTGGCACCCAGTCTGGCAACTGTATGATAGGCGTGAGATGCTCCCTTGACCCCCCCCCCCAAAAAAAGCTCCCCGAGGGAGACCACGTCAACGACTCTCTTCCTGGAGAGAATAACTTGTCAGATTTTGCCCGTGACTTCATCTTGGCTTCAGAAAAAAACGGCAGGTCAAAAGATTGATGGAATGATGTGCTGAGAGCTACTAACAAAGGTTCAGCCACTGTTATTGTGTCGTTAAGTTCAGACACTCAGAGGGCACCTGCTGAAAGTCCCTTAATGAGCATCAGTCAATCTTTAATTCCTCTAAGCTGCTCTGTCGCACTCGGATGACAACACTTCCACACACACAAAAGCCCTTCAGCACAGCTGCACATTTGGGGGGTGGTTGGCTTCCCCCCCCAAAGATGGGAAAATTTACTCTTTTGTGAGGGGTGTTTATAACTCTCAGGCACTCCATCCAGCATGACTATTAGTTAGGGTGGCAGGAATATTCCGAGAGATGGAGACCCAAATGTAAGGTTTTTCATCTCTGGCTTTAAAAAAATAAAGAATTGAGACAGAGATTTCATGCATCACCTTCTGACAGAGCTCAATGGTTTAATAATACCTTTCCCTTCTGTCTTTCTAGAATCATAGAATCGCAGAGTTGGAAGAGACACTTGTCAGATTTTGCCCGTGACTTCATCTTGGCTTCAGAAAAAAACGGCAGGTCAAAAGATTGATGGAATGATGTGCTGAGAGCTACTAACAAAGGTTCAGCCACTGTTATTGTGTCGTTAAGTTCAGACACTCAGAGGGCACCTGCTGAAAGTCCCTTAATGAGCATCAGTCAATCTTTAATTCCTCTAAGCTGCTCTGTCGCACTCGGATGACAACACTTCCACACACACAAAAGCCCTTCAGCACAGCTGCACATTTGGGGGGTGGTTGGCTTCCCCCCCCCAAAGATGGGAAAATTTACTCTTTTGTGAGGGGTGTTTATAACTCTCAGGGACTCCATCCAGCATGACTATTAGTTAGGGTGGCAGGAATATTCCAAGAGATGGAGCCCCAAATGTAAGGTTTTTCATCTCTGGCTTAAAAAAAAAAGAATTGAGACAGATTTCATGCATCACCTTCTGACAGAGCTCAATGGTTTAATAATACCTTTCCCTTCTGTCTTTCTAGAATCATAGAATCGCAGAGTTGGAAGAGACCGCAGGGGCCGTCAAGTCCAACCCCCTGCACAGATGCTTAACCCATTTGTAAAGTTTGGAAGAAAATCCGGATCAGATTCCCTGCCTCTGAAAAACTGGAGGACTCAGCTTTCACTTCTGTAATGTCTACCCAAGAGTAAGTTGCATTCCGCAAAGTTTCTTTCTTATGCTAACTGAAAGTCTTAAATTACAGTAGCTTCAGTCTCATTTCATTGCTCCCTGTTGATCTTTGCTCATGGGAGAAGAATAAATAACTTCTGAGAGAGATGATTTTTGGAGGCGGTTGAAGGACAAGTCCGTTTCTTTTCCCTTGGGTGGGGAGAAAAATATGAGTAACCATTTTACCCTTCCTTCCTTCCTTCCTTCCTTCTCCTCATCCCTCCCCTTCCTTCCTTCCTTCCTTCCTTCCTTCCTTCCTTCCTTCCTTCCTTC